TATGTATTATTTTATTTTAATTTGGTATGGGTATTTTGCTATAAGTAACAAAACAATCTGTAACAGAAACTATATATATTTGAAAAGAATGAAATTATATGTTATCATTTGTTTCCTTTTGGGATCCAAGAAATGAAAATAAGAGAGGTGAAATGCTTTGAAGGACAATTGAACAGAATGAGAAAATGTATAACATAAATATACTGATGACCTTTCTTGCTAAGAACCATTGTTGCCTGCTTAACGACTATAGGTGGTGTTTTGGTTTTCAACATGGCCCCCTTTATGCTGATTTCAGTGTACTAAGGAAACAGAATAAAATAACCTCCCCTTCCGGGGGAATATCTACAGTTTCATTTGGCATAATCTCTTCTATTCGGGCTCTTCCCCCCTAACTTTTTAAGCCCACATAATAACTGAATGACCATTGCTTTTAGCAGGATCATTTTAGCAGGTCCAGGATGGCTAGCAGACAACATCTGGTAGTGTTTGCTAGAGCCACACTAGACAAAGCACAGGTACCTGGTAAACACGACCAAATGCTGGCCAAGGCTTTCCAATAAGCCTGACTGTTCAGTCACTACTGAAACTCCCACAGTACTCTCAATTTCAGAAAGAGAATGTATGCACATGTAATTCAAGACCCACAGCTGTTAACAGACAAAAGGATAATGTTCCTAGTCTTTCCAGACACTCTTGGAATCACAGCATGCTGCAGCCAGGGCTGTGGCTCTTATGTTTTAAGCTGAAGGAAAACTTAGCTGTCATGAAGGTGGAACCACAAAAGGGGATGATGACTGAGATGGTGAGAGAGCCGGAAATGACGTCTATGAGGAAGAACTGAAGGACCTCGGTGTGCCTGAAGACTGAGGAGGGTGCGCTAACTATCTGATTGTAAGTCTTGAACAGATGTCAGAGGCAATGCTTCTCTAAAAAAGTTACTAATTTCTCCCCAAGTGGAAATATTGTCTTTGCTAGCTATTGTGGCAGGTGACCAAAGAGCTGGGTCAACAGGAGTGAGGAGGCAGGTGAGGCTGCATCTACGCAAGCGCAGTTTGTGGAGATGAGCGGCAGGGTGCAGCAGACAGCCCGGACTGCAAGAACTACCCCTCGGGAGATGCTTCACACTGTGAAATCAGAAGACTTCTCAGAGAAGCCTAGAGGGTCTACAAATAATGAAAATAAAACCTGTCTGAGACAGGAACTCACAGAGAGTTACATATTGGGCCTCTGTTTGACCCACATAAGATTCTATTTTCCCAAGAGTTTCACTAAAAGAAAGTTGGGAAAATCACCACTATATATGGTATAAAAACACTGGTCACTTTAAAACAGGAAAAAAATAAAACTATCTAAGTGGCAAAGGTTATTTTTCAAACAGGATGATAGACAAGATTTAAGCCAATGGCTTTGCCTAGCAGCCACTAGTTCTGGGATGTCCTTAGTATTTGAGATAAAAAAATATATATCACTTCAAATCTCTGGAGAAGGGAGAAATGATGGGTGGGTGCAGTGATTTTTAATTTTTTTTTGTGCTTCAAAACATCCTTTTGTAATTGAGATTTTATTGCTTGAGGATCAGTACAGACATTTCAATTTGTACACAATTCTTAACATACATATTGAAAATATAAAAAGCCATTTATTTTCACTATTTTAAACAGTTATTCTAGTGACTTTCCAGCTTAAAATTTGAAGGTAAATTTTCCTTAAGAGGATATCAAGTACGGGTATCTTCCAACGTTGATGAGCTGTTATGTAAGTCCCACCAATTCACAATTTATTATCATCCTCAAATTTTCCATCTTTCACAGCACATTAACAAAGTTACTAGGAAAACGGGACTATCACGACCAAAGATGTTACAGAGTGCACGCAACTCTGACAGGGAGAGCCAGGATCAGGAGTGGTTTTCTTTAGGAAACAAGTCTACTAAAAACCAACATGGAATAGGAGTAATTTAAAATGTTCAAGACATTAAATGCAGTCCTGGGACTCCACTCTGCCATTTAGTATGCTCTGTGTTACAGGATATAAACACTAACCCCCATCCATGGAATGGTAAGCTGACACAGTCAAAGCCTCCCATAATTCAATATCCCACACTATTTTCTGGTTGTACCAAAAAATAAACAACCAGAGAATGATTTACCTCTTAACAAAAAGCATTTACACTTAGAAAAACGGGATGAGGTGGGATTCCCTCCTTAACAATGTTTCTAGAGCTACTAAAAAACTTGCCTTTACAAAATACTTGATAAAAATATTCCTCTGGATTGTTCCAGAAGGGCGACAGGAACCACTGATGAGGCATGGTGTGTGGTATTAATCTGACTTGGCTTCTCTCTCTCCTGCTTCAGCAGAGGCTGGACTCTCCTCAGTTTTAGTTTCTCCATTTTCTGCGGGTAAATCTTCTTTAGTTTCTTGGTTAGCCACTTTGGCCTGTTTTCGCTTTGCTCCCCTTTTCCCTTGTGGTTGTACTTTTTTGTCTGAAGATTATCCTTCGCTGCGGCCTTTTTTGGCTTCATTTACACTTTTGCAGGAGCAGGTTTAGCTGACAACATCACCGACCTCTTCTTGGGCTCTTCCTTCACCGCGCCTTCAGCCGAGCTGGGCGGGGAGGGCGTGTGCCAGGTGCCTGTGGGCTGCATCTCACCAAAGAGCCTTCGAGAGCCTTCTCGAAGCTGGGCTGCCTGGCTGCTGCCATTCTGATTTTTAAAATACTCTCCGGGGGGGAGCCCACTTGCCGATACCACAGCCAGAGCAGTTCTATCCCACAGCAGAGGATCGGATAAAGAAAATGGGGTGTATATACACAATGGAGTACTATTCAGCCATAAAAATAAGGAAATCATGCCTTTTGCAGCAACAGATGGAATTGGAGGCTGTTATCTTAAGTGAGACAACGCAGACACAGACAAATGCTGCATGTTCTCACTCAGAAGTGGGAGCTAAATAACATGTACACGTGGAAGCAGAGTGTGGAATGACCGGCAATGGAGACTCGGAGGGGCGTGAGGAGGGGAGGAGGGAGGATGATGGGAGGTGGCCTCGTGGGTACGATGAGTGTGGCTCCAGTGATGGATGCACTAAAGGCCCTGATGTCACCACAATGCACCTATCAGTGTAGCAACATTGCACTTGTACCCCATGAATATAAACAAATAAAAAATTTAAAAAAGAAAAAATGTTTAGTGCATTATAGGATGCTTAGCAGCAAAATAAAAGATAGAAAAAAGAAAAAAGTTTTTTTTTAAAAAGTAGGGTTGCTTAACTGTGGCATTGAGTTGGATAACACTTTGCTGTGGCAGCCGCGTTGTGCATTTTAGGGTGTTTAGCAGCAACCCTCGCCTCTGCCTCACTCGATGACAGTAGTATGCCCCAGTTATGACAACCAAAAATGTCTCTAGACATTGCCAAATGTTCCCTAGATGGCAAAATTGGCCCCAGTTGAGAACCACTGATCTAAACAAATACATCACTGTCTCACTTCCAAACTTTTCCTTAAAAAGCACAGTATTTCTAATTTTAGACGTTAATTCCACTGTTAAAAATTTCTAAGTTATATAATCATCAAACAGGACCTCAATCTATAAAAGAACAGATAATTTTGACTAGGAAATGAAGAGTTCATTATGCTATCATTATAGTTCCTAAATTTAAAAATATGCATACATTTAAACACTGAAATGTATTTATAAAAGCTTGAAATTTGAAGAATTATAAAATATACCCCTTGTTGAAATAATCCTTGTATTATTGACTTCTCCATTTTCGAATTTTCATCCATGGTTGAAACCAAAGGAGCAATTTGTTCTTGTGCAAATTTTTTAACTGCAAGAAAAAGAAATACTGATCAGTCTATGTTCAAGTGGCAGCCAAATTAATAAAAATTATAATTAGTTCATTAAGAGTTTGCTGACGAAATTTTACTTTTTAACTAATAAGTTAAAATACATACAGGTGCTCTTCTTATTCTTTTAAAATATAATTTATGAAGTTTTTTTTAACGCATACATGTATAATTCCTCATCCCCTTTGTAACCCTTGATGACATTAAAACATAAATAATTCATGTATACGATACAAAAGCAAACACAGAAAGCACAAAATGAAAAATGAAAGCCATGATCTCTGCCCCTCAGTCCCTCTACCCAAAGGCAACTAATTTTAAGTTTGTTATATATTCTTTCTGAAAACTTTTCTTTAAAAAACATCTATATTTATCTATATAGACACATATATTTCATTTGCATTTTTTACATGTAGGAAGCATAAGAGGCACATTTAACCGTGCCTTGCTTTGCTCCCACTTATATCTTGATGATCTTTTTGTGACAGCACATCCCATCTACCTTGGTCCTTTTAACAGCTGCATGGTCATATAGAACAGGGTTTCTCTACCTTAGCACTGTTGACATTTTGGGGCAGGTTAAGTCTTTATTGCGGGGGCATTGTAGAATGTTTAGCAGTATCTCTGGCCTCTGCCCCTTTGGCTACCAGTAGCACCTCCCACTCCCAAGTTGTGGCAACCAAGTGTCTTTAGATATTGCCAAATGTCCTTCGGGGGCAAAATTGCCCCCAGTTGGAAATCACTGTTCCAAACCTTTTAAGTCTTGGATGCACCTGGAATTCATTTTGATGAAAGCACCTTCTTAACTTTCCCAGCATCATAATACCAAATGCTGCACACGTGCAGAGAAGCCACTGGGCTAAACTGAGAGCTCAGTGCATGCTGGCTTGCTCCAGGCTTCCTTTGTTTCACACAAGCGACTCCCTCTGTCTAGAATGGCTTCCTGCCCCTTGTCCAGCTGGCTAACTGCTCTTTATCCTTCAAGGAACAGCTGAAGAACCACTTCTCTGGGAAGCCTTTCCTGACTGCTTCCCTGCCCACTTCCTACCACCCCAGCTCACTTTAGGTGCTCTCTGCTTTGCTCCCCAAATGCCTCCACGACATTTACCATACTATTCTGAAACTATTTCTTTTATTTGACTGTCTTTGCCACTAGACTATGAGTTCCTTAAAGGCAGTGATTTTTCTCTTGCCCATTTTTGTTGCTTCTGTGCTTAGATAAGTAGGTACTAAATAAACAGATATGAGTGACTAAAGACAGACAGTCAAGGCACTCTAAGCAAATTCTTTTGATTTATATAAAATATTTGATCACTTACTCTGTTTCTTCCTTAACCACCTCAAACTCACTTCCCTCAAAGACCATATCGAAAAGTTGAAGGAGCAAAGGAAAAGGAATTTACATATTGTAGTTATCAGAATTCTTAAAAAAAATTTTTTTGAGATCGGGTCTGGCTATGTTGCCCAGGCTGGAGTGCAGAGGCTATTCACAGGCACCGTCATAGCACACTGCAGCCTCAAAATCCCGGCCTCAAGGGATCCTCTTGTCTCAGCCTCCTGAGTAGCTGGAACTACAGGCTACCATACTCATTCTATAGGCAGAATTCTAAGATGGTACCAAGATTCCCAGCCCCTAGTGTCTTTATGTATTCTCTCAGTTTGTTCAATGAAACATGAATCTAAGTGCTGCTGTGAAGGACACTATTTTATACACACACACACACACACACACACACACACACACATATATATATATAGTCCCAAATCAGCTGACCTTAAGAGAAAGAGATGACAGTTGGTAGGCCTGACACAATCAGGCGAACCCTTAAAAAAGATGGGGCTCCTATCTGCTGAAACAGGTTTTAGGTATGAGAAGGATTTGATGTGAGGAAGAGTTACTGGTTTTGAAGACAGAGGGAGCCACATGGTAAGAAATACAGAGGCCTCCAGAAGCTATGAGCAACCTCTGGCTGACAACCAGCTGGGAAATAGGGACCCCAGTCCTATAATTGCAAGGAACTGAATTCTGACACAACCATGTGAGCTTGGAAGGGCTTTGAGCTTCAGATAAAAAGGTAGCCCAACTGACACTTTACCTTACTTTAGCCTTCTGAGACCCTGAGCCTGGACTCATCATGCCTGGACCACCTCTGACCTGTAGAACTGTGAGCTGCTGAGTGGGTGATGTTTTAACCCATTAAGTTTGTGGTAATTTGATACCCAGCAGTAGAAAATGACTACACTTACCATCCATATTCTATAAGACCAACATTTTGATATTGTACTATAGATTTTTAAGTATATCATAATTTTATGTACACACACACACCTCTATATCTGTAAATAAATGAATGCAAACTGCTTTAAGGTTTAGTGGCATACGATTTCTGCTTCTTGATTAGGCGCCCTGTTTCAATCACAGGTATTTTATATTAATAGAAAAAGGTAACTTCTAAATTCCACATAAAATATTAAAACTCCACTATTAAAAAAAAGTGGACAATATATTTACTTCTAACTCTACAAGGCTATATTAGAAACTGGAAACTAGGTGACTCCAGGAAGATCTGGGGAACCAGGGAACAGGGGTGGGAGAGACTTCACTTTTACCCTTTTATTCTGTTTTTTTTTTTTTTATCTTGGATAAGTATTATTCCCCCTGCCAAAAAAACCTCTTCATTCACAAACTTAGTGAACATATTTCCCAATCATGTTATACATAATTCCATACTGTAGACCCAACTCATGACCAGAGGATGAGGTGGAAGTTGAGAATTTACTTACCTGAGCTCTTTATTGTTATTTGCTCATCTGTAAATGTTTGCAGCGGGGCAAATGGTAGTCCGTTATTTGTCATATCAAGTAGAGCTTCCGACTGGGAAGATCTTACGACATGAGGAGGAATTTTCCACGAAGACAGGCACGTTGGGAAATTTCTTCTTAGCTATAGGAACAGCCCCCAGTGAATAGGAAACACAAACACACAAAAGTAAGAAAGGTATTTCAGTATCAGTTTCTTTGGGAATAACTTTACAACCCATTCTTATACTTCATATCAACAAAATAAGGAGCTTAACCTAGTACATTTTTTAATTCACTATCTTTTGAATATAAACACAAATTAGTTTGCTAACATTGTATAATATCTCCTTTATCTAGTAATGAGCTGCTCTAGATTAACAAATTTCCCAGATAATTAACTTTTACCAATCAAGGAAACAGAACTTTCTAGATGGAATTCAATTCTTAAAATGTATTTCATATTCCACTGACTTCTTAGATAGGAAAACTGGAATTATAACACTACCTATGTCTAAGACTGACTCCTATCAAGAGCAATCTCTTGAGGGTAAAGAGCTATCTGCCCTGCCCTGAGTGGCTCCAGGCAGCTGTGCTTTTGTAATTTCCATGGCTGGTTTTGTTTTTTCAGCTTCTTATTAGTGAGAGACAATGCAGCATAAGGGTATCTGATATTTAATAGCTTATGTAATCTTGGGCAAGTGATTTTTTTTTTTTTTGAGACAAGGTCTTGCTCTGTCGCCTGGGCTAGAATGCAGTGGCAGCATCATAGCTCACTGCAACCTCAAACTCCTGGGCTTGAGGGATACTTCTGTCTCAGCATCCTAAGTAGCTAGGACTATAGGCACACACCACCACACCCAGCTAATTTTTCTATTTTTTGTAGAGACAGGGTTTTGCTATGTTGCTCAGGCTGGTCTCAAACTCTGGGCCTCAAGCTATCCTCCCACCTGTGCCTCCCACAGTACTAGGGTTACAGGCGTGCGCCACCATGTCCAACCAGGGCAAGTGATTTTTAACCTCTCGGTGAGAACCTCTCAGAGTCTCAATTTCCTTACCTGTAAAATACACATCATAACCTTTTGGGGTTTTCTGAAGATTAGTAAAATAATCTATACAAAGGCTTTGGCATAGTATCTACCATACAGTAAGAGCTCAATAAACATAAACATTAATGATTATTTCTACTACAATTCTAGGAATACGGTAGTGGAGGTGGTCACAACGTAAGTGGGAGAAGTAACACAGTGACGCTGTCAGCCATCATTTCTTGCCATGAGTGCACCTCCTTGTTACAGTGCTCCAAATCCTTTAACAAATGTAGTAATACAAGAAATATGCTTTCTCAATAGTTTTGACTATATACTTGAAAAGCTGAGAAAAGAGAACAAAGAAACCAGAGTCACTGTGTTTGAAACCCCTGTCAATCTTTGCGACACATCAGCCAAACTTTGCAATTATGTGCCTAGGTTCTGCTCTTGGATTCACCTGAGAAAAAGAAACACTGGTCAGTCGGAGGAAAAATGTATATGTCTGCTCTGTGTCTCCATTTTCCTAGTTAATTTTTTGCTTTGTTTTCAGAATTAGGAGACAGATAGTTTAGGGCAAAGTTATGAGGACTATTTTTTTTCCTCATTAAAAGACAGAGTTGGGACAGGAAAATTAGGGGCTAGAAAGAAGGCAGAGGGAACATGAGGTATTGTTTTCTTCCTGATGAATTAGACAGTAAGAATTAAAAAGAAAGAGTATGAGGGGCACAATGGCGTTCGCCTGTAATCCCAGCGACTTGGGAGAATCGCTTGAGGCCAGAAGTTTGAGACCAGCCTGGGTAACAGTGAGACACTGCCTCTAAAAAAATAAAAAATAATAAAAATGCGATTTTTAAAATTATGAAAAAAAGGAGGGTAAAGGAGAAGTGAGGTAAGAAATGGAAGTGCAAAGGGGTTCAAGAAGGCGAGGAATGTGCTGAGTAGCAGGAGCGAAGGTGGTTGGTCAGACGCAGCTGGCACAAGGAAAGAAGGAAGACCGGGGAGGAAGAATGGGAATATTATGGAGAAGGAGGAGAAGTAAGTCGGGGGCAACTTTGCTCAGTGGCTGGCGGTGGAGTCTTGAATGGGGTCAGTATATTTGGGAATGAGTGAAAGCACGAGCCACCTAGTCTCCTCTACAAAATGCTCATGAAACTTGCCTGTTACATTTCAAAAACTACGATATAATGCCCACATTTATTTCTAAGGGAGATTATTTACTTCACTAAATCCACTACAGAATTCTTTGTGTCTCTTAGTCAACATATCACCTGTGTACCTAAGTTTATCTTTAGAAGAAAGCCCACCACCAAGAAACTAAGAGCCAGTGGGTCTTACAATAACACCTGTTTCCTGCTGACGCAACTGTGAGACCCTGAGTTTCAACACTGCTACTGACAAAGCACATGACCATTCAACACACAGCAATTATTTTAGATTCACAGACAAGATGACAGAGGCAAATGTGATTGAAAAAGTATGGAATGGTATACAATTACAGGCTGAGATAACTGAAGGTACTCATCATAAAGTATACAGAGTGGGATCCATTTTTAACCAAACCATTGAGAGAAACTACCTATCCTCTTCTGGCAGAAAAAAATGTCTATTTAATCAGACAGTTTTTAATAAAGGAAACTTTTCTTTCCCTTGCCTTTAACTGCACAGCCTGAGGTTTCGATGTTGATTTTCTCTTGTCCCCTGCCCTTCAGTGGTGACCTCAGCCTTTGCAGCCTCGGTGTCCACTCCATCAAAATGATTTTCCACGGTTATAACCCATTGCACCACGTCATCACATTTTTTTGTACAGAGCAGCAATTGCTACTTGAATGGAATAATGGTTATTTATGACTTGCCAAATACTTTTTTCAGAGCTGGAGTCCGATCTGTTTCCTACTCAACTGACCAGAGTTCTGCCACACTTGGCAGTGTTGATGATCAAGCCTGGGGCCTCTAGACGCCTGTGGACAGAACAATAGAGTCCACGAGCTTGGATGGTGGAAAAATCACATCTTCATTTCACTAATCTCTAACTGAAACGCAGCATTTCTTTTAATCATTAATGTAGGCAACTAGTTACAGCAGTTTTAGCAGAATCTGTGACTTTGTCATCAAAAGAAATTGTAGATATTTTTATATCACATTGAGCCGGTGCAAATATCTCGAAGTATTGTTTGTGCTCACCACTACTTCACATTTACAGCAGTTATTAGAACTGCTGCCAGATCTTATTAAGAAACACATATTATTACATCACAATTTAAAAAATATTTTTAGAACTGCTTTATTATAATTTCCTTTATAATTCTATATATTCTATATATTTCTAAACATTTTGAGAAAATGTCTATAGACTTTACTACATTGTAGTATACCCTTCACTCATGGCACAAAAAAGGGTTAAGAACACCTGATTGCGGAATGTTCTGGTAAAGGTTCTTTTGCTAAACTCTTTAAAGTTTAACCACCATTGGTCATAACCCTTTCTCCATTATGCTCCAGCTTGACGAAGTATTGTTGCAAACAATCTTAAAGTGCTTCAGATCTAGTTTTCACCATATATGAAAGGCAAAGGAAGACATCGGAGAAGCCACGCTCACCCACAAAGAAAGAATCAGGCTTTTCACAGAAAATGCTTCCACGTAACACAACAGCACTTTGCCTTAAATCCCGATAGTCATGTTTTCCCGCCAGATGTGCCCTCCTGCTCTCTCTCCTCCCTGAGATAGTTCCAGAGGTGCACCCCATGGGCTGACTGTCGACCCGATGTCAGTCATCACTGAGCACTACACAAAGCTCTCCCCACCTCAACTTCTTAGAACATTCCTTTCCCTTTCCTCAAGTAAGAGCAACTTCACTTTCCTCAGAGTACATTACTTTCCCTGAAGCGCTCTCGAGTGGAAACTGCTCCTTCTCTCACAGCCTTCCTTTCCAGGAGTAAGGAGGTTGGGTCATTAACTCCCTACTCCTCAGCCAAGCCTCAGGAACATCACGGCCCCCTCCTCTCGTGGGAGGAAGGGAGGAGGGAAAGGAGTAAGAAAGGTGACCATTTCCCTTGAGGATCAGGCCACCACTCACTCCCTCTGCCATGCCTCACCACTGGCTCTTCTGCCCCCCTGGCCAGTTTCCCTTATTCACTGAACCCAGTTTACAAACATCCTCTCCACTCACACATGCCAGTATCTGAGACCGCAGAGTCCACAAGGCCAGCTCATGCAACACTCTGGCCTTGAACTCTTCATCTCCAGCAACTCTCTCCACTGTCACCCCCTCCAAGTTTTCTCTCGGATCACAGCTTCCTGTCCCTCAGCTTGCCCATGCCCACTGACCTACTATGCCACCAATTTGTTCTAGAACATGGCCAGCTTTCCAGTCCCATCACACAACTAATTTCTTTGTCCCTGACAGTCTCTCTTGCTTTCATTACCGTCATTGTCCAGCTTAGGTTCCCTGGTTGATCTTTTTATTCACTTCATATGTACCCCAAACATTCTTACTCCTATCATCCTGTTTCCTTCTCCCCACCATGTAGAACATAAATAACGTCCCTCTTTTTAAGGCCAGTTCCTTCGCCTTATTTCAGGATCTCATCCCTCCCGCCTTCTCAGAATCTTTGGTCAACACTTTTCTCCTCTCAGGTTTTTTCCATTTCTCCCTCAAACTTCTCATCAGCATGAAAACCCTGCTCTAATTCTTACCACATTTACTAACCATGCTCGACCTTCCATCCACCTCTAGCCACCACCCTTTCTCCTCTCCTGCACAGCTAAACATTGCTAAAGTGGCCTCACTTGCTGTCTCTACCTCCTTCTCCCCACCCAATAAATTTCTCAATCCACCCTAAGATGGCTTCCTCCTCACCCCAGCAGAATCTCCCTCCATAAGGTCATCAAACAACACCTCCATGCTCTGCAGGCTTCCACTTACTTGCCCTCAGCAGACTCAGTTTAGCTGAGCCACATACCCTCCTCCTTCCAAATGCCCTGATTCCCATGACTTTGCTCTGTGCCTGTTCTCCTCCTATTCTTTCCAGCTCCAATCTTTCTCAGTCTTCCCCTATAGCTTGTCCCCCACTACTTGATCCTTAAGGGTTAGGGACGGTGGGGAAGAGGGAGGA